CCAACTTTACATCTCGAAAATCCCATTAAAAAACCTAAGCAGTTTGAAGCCTTACTCGCATCAGCATCAGGCAAATGTGCGCCTTTAAAAATCTATTTATTAGGAAAACGTCTACTCACGCTTAAAGCAATTTCAAAGCTTCCTGCATAAAAAAAATTTACTCCATGACACAAAATCTCGCTTAGAAAACTCTGCAAATTGAAAAAGCAAGTGAAAGTGAAGCACAACCAAAATTTAACAAAATAAACTTGTCTTAAGATGAATTGAGAACAATTTGAATGTCAGTCACATTGTTATTCAGTTCAAAGCTATCGTGATAAATGAAAATTTATTGTTTTGATGAGAAACAATATCAGAAACATGTCAACTGCTGTATTTCTTGAAATATTTCATAACAGACAAACAATTGATCGCATATCATTTCAAAAAAAAGTTTTCTGGTTTAAAAAAAAATGTTTTTTTTTTTTGGAAAACATACCGTTCGATGCCGGCATAATGCCTGGTAGCCAACGATACTCAAACTTTTTCAGTCTTTCTTCAAGGCCCAAAAGTAATTTACATTGAAATCAAGTCTTCTAATTGTAGTTCCTCATCATAATCGTAAAAAATACTAGCATGGGCTCTTAGAGACGCTGCTGAAGTTGTACTTCCATATATTTTATCAGTTTTAAGCAATTGCATTTGCCATGAAAAGTTTTCGTCCATACTGAAAACCGGTCATATAGTACCAGTGTTTAAAAAAACCATTATAAAGCTGAAAATCGTAGAACAATCCCCAACTATACTTCTCTCAAGATTCTATGAACGGCTACGACAAAAATCAATGTTTTTTTTTATTTCAGTGAAAATACACTTAATTCTAAAAACAAATCAGGTTCCGCCAGAGCTCTTCTACAACTGATGCGCTATCATAATTAACAGACGCAGAAAAAACCATTATCGAAAAATCATTTGATTCAATTTCGCAAGAAACACTATTGAAAAAATTTGAAAAATTTGGCTTCGAAGTGAAACCATAAACAAATTCAAGAGCTTTTTGACATAGAAATTGCAGGAAATCCATGTAAAGGTTGTTTCTAATATATAACAGACATCCAGTAAGAACTACCCTAGAGCATGGTATTCAGTCCTCGCTCAATCAACATTTATGCAATTGACATGAACGAACAGCTAGATTACAACAGCAAAAAGAACAACAAGGATATGATACGTTGATTGATTGCTCAATTCTTTGTAAAAAAATCTGAAAGTCAACCTAAATAGGTTCTTTAAATTCTTCAAATGTCATAAATTCACTTTGAACGAAGACAAAACAGCTCGCTGCCAATTAAATACAGAATTGTCTTTCTTAAAAAACTAGTTATCAACCAGCTTAATTAATCACTACCATTAATGTTGGCACTCGACAAAAGGCGCCGAACACCTTCAATAGGCAAAGTAATTGGCTGTTTGAATTGATTTTTTTCAAAGAAAAATTGAAACCTTTTTTCTTTGAAAACAAATCCTAAAAAATACTTATGCGTACCAGAGTGAACTACAATGCTCTATTATACTTTCACATATTAAAAAAGGAATAATCTCAGCGTTGTGTTTGAATAAACTTTCTAAAATACGGATACTGCCAATTAACGTATCCGTACTAGGCATGTACTCAGAAAATTTATTTCAAATAAATTTTGACAAGCAAGTACAACAACAAATTTTTTCTTGTCCAAGATTGCAATTGGTTCAATTTTTTGCCTGAAAAACTGAAAGACACGACCTTCTATCCCATGTTTAAAAAAAACAACTAAGTGAACAAACATTTGATAGAGCTGTTTGGTATAACTCAGAACCTGCAGGTTTTTGATAACAGTTGGAAAGGTAGTAAGATTAAAATTACAGCTAATTAAATTTTTTTTCATCTTAATTGTCACCATCTTGAAATCTTTTAACCCAAAAAAGATTTAAGTTCATATTATCAGCTCAATTTTATATCTAAAGAAATTTGTTTATTTGTTTGTTCTGGTACTTGACCATTTGTTTGTTTCAGTGCTTCTCTCACATTTTTGACAGCTTGTCGCCCAAACCTGATTTTTGAATGTTTTCAGGTCAAACCAGAAAAACAGCGAAAAGCGGTTTGCTCTGCATCACGATTTGTTTCAAAAACCGACCAATTGCATCTTTTAATAACATCAAAAGTATCGGGAAATACCTGAAAACACTTTCGTTAAGCCTAAGCATTCAAGGATCAGGTTATTTGATCATGAGGCAGCTAAATTTTTCTTTCATTTCTGCAAATTTTTGTTAGCTATCTCTTCAAGAACACGTCCAAAAATGTGGAAGAAATTCCCATCCTGAAGAAGAGTTGTGTTCTGTTTCTTTGATGATTACCCAAAAAAAACAATTGTCATAATGGCAAGTCGACCAAAAGTTAGAGTTATTTTACTATGAAATGAGAACTTCTTGAAAACCAGGACTGGGCCCCTGTAAAGTATCTTTCCAGTAAATCAAAAAGATCAAAGATTCCACAAAAATTTGACTAAAGTTTTTTCAAATACCGCTAAATGATTTCTAAGTCCAGACAAACATTTTCCGACAAAAATCTTGATCCATGCCAAATTTTAACTATTTGTCACTAAAATAGTCCAGACTCATCTCTTCACTGAATAAAACTGAAAATCAAAATCTGTGCTATGTTTGAGTCGATAATTTTTTTTAATTAACAAGAAAAGTCTAACTCTGTTCAGAAAAAGAAAAACAGCACAGCCATCACTTTTTGAAAACAAAATTTTCAAGGTGGAATTATTCAGACACAGAATTTCTCTTTTTGTAAACACATTTTAATTCTTTTGATTACGTTCGTGTTAAATATTTCAACTTGATCTTGAGTGGCAAATGTCAAAATGCAGTTTTCGAGAGATTCTTGCCACTTAACTTGCGGGTTTTAATTTAGGAGAAAATGTTTAGTTGATGTGTTTTTGGAAATAAATTGATGTGCTTTTTAAGAAAAAATTGCATTCATTTGAAGATGTCAGTTTTCATTAAACATTTGGCAATCCAGGCCTAGCATCAAACTTCTGAAAACCAGTTGCGAAAATTTGGATCGTGCAACCCTTGCAAATCTTTATCCTATGCTTCGGCCTGGTATCAGGAAGCGATTTCCACATACAGACAACTGAGTTATCGTTAACATGACGCAATTTGGCAGTTAAAAAGATTAATTGTCTCATTACGAAGCCAAACTGTGTGTTTTGTGAATTGTAAATGGTTTCCGCAACAAGGACGCATTTCCAGTTTTTCTTTTGTTCTCTCATTTTTTGTGAACTCGACAAATCTTTTACTTTTTTAAAGACTTGTCTCTGGATTCCAGAGACCTACACACACTAAGTTGGGTGCCTATCTAGTGCACAGTTTGGCTTCGTAATGTTGTGCTATTAAAACAAAATTGCTAAAAAGTTAAATTGTCGCAAAAGGTAAATTTTTCGTCCAAGAGCGATTTTTTAAGACCCTCACTTATGCGTTTTTACACAATAAAAGAAACAAAACTTAATTGCCCGCCTATAGCCCTAAATTTTCTAACCGAAAGGCCAAATATGTTGCAATCGCAAACTATCATAAAAATGATTAGAGATTATTTGTTTTCAATTCCGATATTAGAGCATTGTTTTATTGAATTCCATTGAAAACTACTCTATGAAGTTGATTTTTGCCTGGAGAATGAAGTTGATTTCATTTATAGCTTGCTTGTTTTGCTACTTCAGTGAAAAATTACATCATTTAACCCCGAGTTGACCATCCCTTATTTTATAATTTCGCTCATCCTATAACTTCTGATGAGATTTTCTGCTATTAAATTTTTTTTAAAGAAAAGTTCTAAGATAAAAACTTTTTTGTACATTTTTAAAACATTTTTGTAACATTATCTAAGTTCTTTATCCTCTCGGCGCAATCCTACGACGGGACCAAGGTGACTGAAACAACGGCCAAAATAAAAAAGAAACCTTATTTTGAAAATTCTTCCGCTTGCAATCATTTAAGATACATTCCGAAAAAAATTTGAACTATATTGTTTTTCCGACTTCCGTAACGAAAGTAACGGAATATTTGTGCTCGGGGTGGGTTTTTTTCTTCAGACAAACTTAGACTTTTTAACTCGCCATTTTTGACGGGATTCTTTAAATCAATCAAAAAGTTTTGTTGTACAGAGCTTGAACTTGAAAAGATATTTCACCTGTGATGATTTTTTGTTAAAAAAATGGGATTTTAAAGATTGCCATTTTGGTCAATTTGGGACAATTAATGCGCGATATATTTCGCGCTATTAACGCTTAAGCGGAGATTTAATCCGTCTTGAAAATCGTTCCAAATTGGTTGAGGGAAGCTTATCTGCCATAATTGATTGTTACTAGGAGCAAAACCTATCACTTTTTACTTTATACGGCGTGTGGGGGGATGATTTTTGCAAAAAAACTCAAATTAAAAAAAAAATTAATATACATTATTTTTATTACGTTTAATTTTTTATGTTTTTACTGCTCCATAGACCTCAAAAGGCAGTCGGAACACTCAGGCCCTCGCCCTCATTTGAGCAGTTTTTGTATATTTTTTAAATTCTATGAATCAGCGAGGATTATACTCTCGTCCTTTGCGGAAATTACTTTGATGTGTTTTGTACGAAAATTACTTTGATATGTTTTTCTTCCTTTTTAGTTTTTTTTCCGTGAACATAGAAATTTATTTTTATACAAGCTTGTTTGGAAAAACTGTTTCCTATTTTTTGAAACCAAGAAAAAGACATCGCGCCCATGCTATTTTTTCTTCAACTGTTAAAAACACATCAAGGCGTATATTATTTCTCTCCTCTTTATTTTTAAATTCCATTTTACCACAATTTCTTATCAATGTAATGCTAATTAAGGAAATTGGATCTAATTAAAATGAAAAATAAGATGAAGCATACGTAATAAGATGAAGTAAAAACAAAAAATAAACATTTTAGACCGCCATTTTTCAGAACCTTCATCTTCTCATAGTTGGTTGTTAGCTATCAAAAACTGTATAGAAAACAAGATAAACTATTTAGTTTTTGAAGGCTAAAAAACTACGAAAAATTATAATAATGGAAGTTCAGAACAACAAGAAAGCCTCAACTGCAGCGATACCGGATTTAGTGCAACACATTGGAAATCCACCGGCTTGTAAGTTTCTAAAGGACATGTTTTTGAAAAATTTTCATGAATGGGAGAAAGCAATACGTCGACAAAAAATATTAGAGCAAAAAATCTTTGCGAACTGTTGTAGTTTTTTCTTTGGTTCGAAACATTGAAAACCGTAAAATTTTTGGCAGTTCTGTTGAATATTTGTTGAATATACTCAATTGCTGCACGGAGTATCAGTGGAAACAAGACTTCTCGTATCAGGGCGAAGCCAAGATTGTTCGACAGCCTCTTAAGGTCTATGTAGCAGTAATAGCATGACAAAATTAAAGGTGAAAATACATAATGAAGATTTTATTTAAAAAAAAAAACGCCACATAGAGTACAAAGTGTAAACTTGGCTCTTAGTAAACATTCAATTATGGCAAAAAAATTTTCTTTAACCAATTTGGAACAATTTCTAAGACGGATTAAATCTTCTCTCACGCGTTAATAGCGCAAAAAATTTCGCGCGTTAGTTGTGCCAAAGTCGCCAAAATGGCTATCTTCAAAACCCCATAACTTGACTAAAAAAGATTACAAGTAAAGTGTTTTTTCAATTTAAGCTCAGGAGAAGAATACCTTTTGAATGAAATAAAAAAACTCTGTCAAAAAAGGCTATTTAAAAAGTCAAAATATGTCTGAAGAAAAAACCACCCCGAGCACAAATATTCCGTTACTTTTGTCACAAAAGTCTGAACAATCTACCAGCCAAAAACAATCAGATAAACTTTACCCATTTAAAGTTCCCTATACTCTTCTGCCCTTGAACAGTTTCTGGTTATTTTTCTCTGCTCAGAAAGTTTTTTATTCATTCCAAACTATCAATTTCAGGATTCTTACTGTTTTTTGGATTCTAAATAACGGTGGTTTCGATTTAAAAAGACCGAAATATGGAACATTTGTAGATGTACCGTTGCCTTTGCTCAAAATTTGGGGTCGACCAATCATCGTTGTCGACTTTTTAAATTGAAAACTTTTGCTGTCAACGTTGTTGGTTAAAAAATTGCTGTCGAACAAAGTGTTATCAAAATCTTTATTGCTCTTTGGGTCAAATTTTCCGAAATATTGTCGAGTTAAAGCTGACATTTTTAATTTATGCTTAACACAATTGGCTGATGAGAACCGTTTCAATTTTTTGTTTTATAAGTTTTCAATCAAGAAGAATTTTATAGTTTTTTTCAACATTCCTTTTAATTTATAATTTTTTTCTTGAAATTATTTTTCAATCAATTTGAAAAAAAAGTTTTTAATTGAAGCCTAAAATTGATAAGCTATTTTTCACAAACCGCCGGAAAAATCTGACCTTGATTGACTCATGTAACGACCCTGGTCAACGACATTTTTTTTTCGATTTTTATAAATTCCCCCAACCCCCCCCCCCCCCCCCCCAGACTTCATCAGATCTCTAATCAAAATTGGCGTCAAAGAAAAAATGAGAAAATGTTTCAGAGTTCAAGCTCGTTTCAATATCTGCCGACATATTTGGTAACTGTTGAGAAATTAGTAAAAATATGAGACAATTTATTTTCAAGATCAAATATTCCTTACATCGTGTCATGTGAACCTTAGCTGCTAATCGAAGCAAAAGTATTTGTGGCTGAAACCTTGTATAAATGTGAATTCTAGCTGCAAATCAAGGAAGAAAAATGTTAAAGATCCTGACAAAACATGATTTTAATCTGAAAATCAAATGAAAATAATCTTGATTCGCTTTTGTCGTATGTCGACCCTCACAAGTAGTAATATGGATATCTATTTTCATGTCCGTATCACTGATTCCTATAAGATGTTAACGTATTTTTTTTAGCTTACTTTTCAGTTTAGAGCAACAAAATTGAAACTCAAGCTATTCCAAAACCCTAGAAAACTTTCTGCTACAAGAAATTTTCTGCGCTGCAGACATTTTTTTGAACAAAAACAAGCCAGAATGCCGCCTTTGATTTTTGGAAAGTGTTGACAAAAATTGGTTTTTTAGAAGTACTCGAAATTAGCTTGCTTTCGATTTAGTATATGATGCATCTAAAGACGCCTTAAAAAAAGCATTTTTTTGGCTTAAAATATATTCTGTATAATATAATACCAAAAATCGGCTCCCACGGTCGGGTGGTCTGCGGCTCAATTACCTGAAGAAGGGGAGCATTCATCATCCCTGCAAAAAATTAGATACTTAAATTATAAAGGAAACAAGTTTTTTGTTCCGAGCAAACGTAACCCTGGATTCATGTCTATAATTTTCTGCGCGATATTTATAGCTATCCGATAACTATCAACACAACCTCTTTTCGGTCGTAATAATGAGCGAACCTTGTTTTGGATTTTATGGAAACTGCGCATAAAGTCTTTTCCTTGCGTTTTCTGTAGCCGAACTAATTTTCAAAACAAATGTAAGTTATATGGTTTTTAGCATACACCAGCGACGGATAAGTTTGTTTTCTGTAGCTGAAATTAGCCACATTCAATTTTTTTTCTTTTAAAATTTTTTCTTTTCACAGCCAGAAGTTAATTCACGCTTATTACAAAAACTGTTTCCTGTTTATTTGGAACTGGTGCAAGAAATTTCACACTCGAGGTAAATTTTTCTTTTGTTTTAAAGTATATATCGAAGCGGTAACTTCCCAAATGGCATAATTCCCAAATGGCATAAAAATGGAAACTTTTCCCAAATGGCATAAATTTCAAGTTTTCATTGTAATTTAAACGTTTTCTATCAATTTCTATTTCTATCATTTTGTCAGGAACGAAAGCATGTGAACAAGATTTGGAATTAATTGCTTCCAAACAAATTTAAGCAACAGATTTGTCGAAAAAAAATTGACCACAAGAAGCTTATTAATAATCGCAAGCTTATGCTTCTTGCTTTTGATAAAAAGTTCTACAAGTTTTTCACAATAAAATGTCAATCAACATTTGAATTGACAGTTTGACTAATTTTCTCACATTGTTCACGAAAAAATTGTTCTCGATTTTTCCAAAGCAACTGTTGCATAAAATTTATGCCATTTGGGAAATTTTTCATTTTTATGCCATTTGGGAATTATGCCATTTGAGACGTAATCTATCGAAGCGTATATTATCCTTCAATTTTGAATTCCTTTTGAACAAACTTTTATAATAGCAGAAAACACTAATTAAGGAAAATGACTCTAAATTTAAAAAAAAACTTTATCAACTGATAGATGATTGTAATAGCCATCAAATTCTTTATAGACAACCATCGAAACAGATTATTTTTCAGTGCATATAAAAACGACAAAAAAGTTTTTCAAATGGATGCTCAGAACGGCAAGAAAACAGCAGCTGCTGCGACACGGCCTCCACGTCAACACATCAGAAAACCACCGCCTTGTAAGCACAAGATTTTGGGTTTAGAGAAATCGTAAGACAAATCGTTAATAAGAAACCGTCCTGGATTTTTTTGCGAAATAGTTTTGTGCAATGGAGAACTAAATTCAGATTGATACAAGGAACTGATACTCGGCACAAAAACAGAACAAAAAGCGACTAAAAATTGACATTTTGAAAATTTTCGTTTTTTCTATCCATTGAAAAACGCGCTAGTCTCAACTCATTCCTCTTATTGTGCACAAGTTTTGTCAATTATAAATAATCGCTCTATTATACAGATCAATTAAACTATATCAGAACAGAAAACAAAATCTGCAAACATTACATTCCGCGAATGGGAATAAAACAGCCGAATTTAAATCCAACCGGAAATGCGAGGAGTTTATGAACCAGCCATAAAATTACTTCAAATAAATCAAATTTGTATAATTTTTGTAACTGTAATATAATTGTTACATAATTATTATATAGCACCTACGTAATTACGGCTGGTTGATAGGTTGGTTGGCTTATAATTCGGCTGGTTTGTGAACCACTAGTTTTGTGCATTGCCCAATTTAATAAACTTTTTGGCTCATATCAACTTATAAACCTTTATTTGGTCAAAACATTTTTTTGTTACTTTCAATATTTTAGTAAACGCTTCTAAACTCATCAATGCCGTTTTTGTTGAGCAAAGGGGTGATTTTAAGTAACGCCCGTATAAACCGACCCTTTTTTCGATGTTGGTTTTAGACTGTTACTGCAATCAGTTTCCATGGATATTAATTGACTAACACAGATTTTCATGTTCTGTGTCCACAAATTTTGAAAATATTTGATTATAAAACAAACAAAATAGAGATCACTTCAATCAAAATTTATGAGTCAGAGCCTGGGTTTTCCAAAACCTTTAAAAAATAATCAAGACTTGAAAAATGCAATCGCTAATTGAATTTTACTTTTGGCTAAAGGTACTGTTAGCTGTTTTTTCTATTTTGTCATCATTCCGCATAAATCACTACCGACAATCCTTACTTCTTTCACTTACCACCTTCTCTCCCACCACTTACCCTCTGCGTATACTTACCGCAATAAAAATACGTGAAATACACCCCACACACACACACACACACACACACTCACACACCTTTAACCCCCTGCAGACCTTTACGCCCCCTAAACTGAGGGGTAGGTGTTTAGGGGGTAGGGTAGTTTGGTGGGTGGCTGAGGATAAGTGGGGTGGTGTAGGTGTGTGTGTGTGTGTGTGTGTGTGTATGTGTGTGTGAGTGTGGTAGCATAGGTGGGGTGGGGGGGGGGGGGGTTGGTTGGCGGGCGTCGTGTAGGCGGGGGAGGTGTGATGGTGTATGGGGTGGGGGTAGGTGTGCGTATCTACCCCCACCCCATAACATGCTCTTCAGGAAACCTTTCAGGAAACATGCTCTTCCTTCGAAGTGTCAGAGCGCTCCTTTTGATTGCAAAGGATGACGCTCCTTTGTCAGGACGCTCCTATTTAATTAGAGGCGCTATCTAATCCTATTTAATTAGACGCGCGTGATTTCAAATTTTTTGGACGGAGCTATCGTTATGATTTTATTTCGTGGCGTTTTTTTATACAAATAACTATATGGTAACATAATTTTTCCTAGGATTTTCATTGGCAGCAATTTTGAATA